AGGCAGGCAACCAGGCAGGCAGGCAGGAAGGCAGGCAACCAGGCAGGCAGCCAGGCAGGCAGAAATGGTGCTGGAGAATTTGCTGAGAGACCAAGTTGAAGGTTGAGAGAGAGACACTGGGCCTGGTGTGGGCTTTTGAAACCTCCGACCCCACCCCAGTGACACACCTCCTTCAACAAGGCCACACCTCCTAACCCTTCCCAAACAGTTCCACTAACTGGGATCAAGCACTCAAAAATATGAGCTTTTCTCATATTCAAAAATATGGGCCATTCTCATTCAAACCACCACACTTAATAAATCATTTCTGTTGGGGGCTGAATAGCTATCCCACTGTCTGGAGAGATGACAGTTTACCTATTTAGCTACTAAAGGATAGATTTAGCTTGTCATTTAAATTTTTATTTCTTTAAAACCCTTTTGATTTTTGATGTTTTTTTGGAAAAGGTTATCACCATGTAACCCTGACCGGCCTGGAACTCACAGTGACCATCCTAGTCAAGAGGCTCCGTCCACAGGACTGCCCCACCTCCCACAGTCCACCTGCACCACCACTAAGAGGCTGAGGTTTCAATGTCTTGGGGTACACAAACATTCAGGCTGTAGCACTGTGTATTGGAAGACAACTCTTTTTTTTTTCTGAACCCTTTTTAGAAAGGTCTATAAACATTGTATTTCTTGACTTTGGAACAGTGTGTGTGTCTGTGTCTGTGTGTGTGTGTGTTTGTGTGTGTGTGTGTGTGTGTTTGTGTGTGTGTGTGCTCACACATATCTAACAAAGCACACATCTAATCCTGTTATTCTTGATGCCTTTGGAATCCCCTTAGCCTCTCTGTCCAGAAGGCCTCAGTCCACAGAAAGCGGACCGGCTCTGCCTTTGATCCTCACAGCACTAGGGCTGGTCTCAGCAGCAATAGCCTGTGCCTTTGGGAAGTGTCACAAAGAACATAAAAAAAGTCAAGAAGAAGAGGATCCAGGAACCCGTGATGGGACTGAGCTCTTCCATGGTGAGTGAGCCCTGACCCTCACACCAAAGACCTGCGTGCCAGGCTCTGCTCTGAGGCTTTGTCTTTGTGTCACCCAACACAGCAGGGACAAAATGAATAGTTAGTGGGGATTTCCAAGCTACAACCCACCCAGTGAAAACCCTTCACCACCGAGAGAGAGTCCTTGGTCAATTATTCTTCACAGGATAATTCTGGGTGGACTACAGGGCCTCCTTCTGGGACATAGAGAGACAAGGGCTTAAAGCTTGGATTTGTCCTATTTTCACTACTGAAACAAAATACCCAAAGCGGGGTGATTCGTAAAGGAATGTTTATTTAGCTCATATTTTGGGGCCTAAATTTCCAAGATCAAGTGTGGTAAAGGCTCCCTGGCTGTGTCATATCATGGTGGATAGCAAGACAGAAGAAACAAGGAATTTGGGGATATATGGGAACTAACCAGGGTCCTCGTAGAACTAAATGTTCCCATGAATTCATTACCTTGGATGAAGCTCTGCCTCTTAAAAGTTCCCCCACCTCCTACCGCTCACACTGAAGACCAGGCTTCTGACACACAAAGCCTGAAGGCACATGCCAGTCACATGCAGCCCACAGAAAAGCCCACATCTGGAGTGTTGGCTGTGGGGTGTGAGCGTTATTTCCAAGTTTTCTCTCTGCTGGAGATTGTCTCTGCCTCTCGGTCTTTCTCTGTCTCTGTGTCAGTTTCTCTCTGTCTCTCCCACAAAGAGCCTGTCCTCTGACCTGGGTTTAGTACACCCTGGGAGCTGTCTCAGGCTGTCCCTGGGAGCTGTCTCAGGCTGTGCTCACATCTCTTCAAGTATCCCTCACCCCCGCCTCCCTCACTGCTTGGAGTGTGGGGAACAATTTAAATGAAGACAGTAAATGATTTCTAGAGACAGATGGGGAAAGTTTCATGTAGGGAAGAGAGCTTAGATCCCTCATCCACACAGGGCCAAGAGGGCAAAAGTCCCCATGCCTGTCACTTTCTTTTCTCTACAGTGAGTCTGTCCCTGGACCCTGAAACTGCCAGTCCCAAACTCATGGTGTCAGAGGATCAGAAAAGTGTGAAGCGGCTGCTATTTGACCAGGATGTGTCCCCCAGTTCCAGGAGATTTGACCAGGACCCCTGCATCCTGGCTCAAGAGCGATTTGAGGCAGGGAGACATTACTGGGAAGTAGAGGTTGGGGACAGGAGGGCCTGGATTCTGGGTGTGTGTCTGGAGAGTTTGGTGCGGGAAGGAAGGATCCCCAAGTCACCCCAGCATGGCCTCTGGGCACTAGAGTTTTACAAGAAGAAACTCCAAGCCCTCTCCTACCCCAGGACTTGCCTGTCTCCTCCAGAGCCCCTTCGGCGGGTGGGCATCTTTTTAGACTTTGAGGCAGGAGAAATCTCCTTTCATAATGCAACCAATAACTCCCTGATCTACGTGTTCTCTGGATTCTCCTTTTCTGGTCCCCTACAGCCATTCTTCTGTCTCTGGACCCATGACCCCAGGCCTCTAACCATCTGCTCAGTGGTCAGAGAGACTGAAGAAGAGACAGAATCCTCTGGAGGTCCTAACCTCCCTGGGGACTCCTGAGATGTCCTTGAGAGAGAAAAGCCTTTTTGCGGCCCCTAGCTCCTAGTACTAATTATCTCCTTCCTATATAAACATATGATGAGACACCAGTGGCTGGATATGCTCCCTCTGCCAAATTCCTGTGCTGAACGCTGGCATTGCCCACAGGGGTCAGGGATTTCTGAAGGCGTAATTTGAAGATGAAGCATTGAACAAGATTGTGGTTAAGGGGAGTCATTGATGTACCTTAACCTCATAGATCTGGTATTCTATTAAGAAGAGAGATTAGGACCTGGAGAGATGCCGCTCCAAGTGAGCCAACCATGCCCTGGTCTCATATTTCTAGCCTCTGGGACTTAGAAAGTGGTTCCTTCCAAGTGACAATCATGTGAATCTCCTGTGTTGTTACTTTGTCATGGCTGCCCTCTCTCAGTGAGGCAAATATGTGTGTGTGTGTGTGTGTGTGTATGTGTGTGTGTGTGTGTGTGTGTAGAACGTCCAGCCCAGTGGTGGGTGTTGTGACACAGTAAATGACAGACTTACCCTCCCTTCTCACTCTCCCTCCATCTTGTTCATCTCTCACTTGTCCATTTCCTTTCTTTCTTCTCCCTCCTTCCCACCTTCTCTTTCCTTCTGTTAAATGATTTTATTATTTTGAATTATGTAGATGTGTGCATCTGTGAACATGAATGTGGTGCCCACAGAGGCCAGAGGACAGCATCTGATCCCCTGGAACTGGAGTTAGAGAGGCTGTGAGCTGACAGAGGTCCTCTGCAAGAGCAGCCAGGGCTCTTAATCATAGAACCATCTCTCCAGCCCCTCCCCCCTCTCTTTTTTCTTCCTCCTCCAATCTGTTTCTACCTAAATCTCTTTCTCCCCCTCCCTGTGACAGACTAGAGCAAGCCACACAAAGGCAAAGATTCCAAGATTCCTAAGGCTTTGGTCAGAGTTTAGTGAGGACAGAAACCACATCCACATTGACCAAGAAAAGAAACGAGAAGTGGGTTTTAATGTACATTTGAGAGCACAGGGGCACACTGGAACCTCAGCTACCTGAGAATCTTCTACTCCAAGATGGCAGCAGTAAGGAGAAAAGAGCCCAGGGAGTGGGGTGCTGCTCCACGGTGCCTATTCCATAGGGTCTGAAAAAATGCCATCTGTCTAGTGCTGTGAAGCTGGTGGCCCCAAGAGAAACAGAGTCACACTATCCCGCAGACCTAACATTTCCTCTTGCTGCTTGTTGCAAGTTCAATCAGGGATTGTTGGTGTGATTGATCTGCGTGGTGCTCAGGATCCCACTCCAGGGGGCCTGGGGCTTTAGGTTAAGAGCTCTGGCCAAAAAGCCACTAGTGACTCTTTCCTCTACAATCCGGAGACCAGAAATCTGAACTGAAGTGTTGTCAGGGTTGGCCTCTCCTGAAAGCATGGCAAAAATCTAAACCATGCCTCCCTCCCAGTGTCTGGTGGAGTACAGCCCTCCTTAGGTGGTAGACACATCACTGCAAATGCTGCGCCCTGTCGTCATATGGCCAACTCTTCCCTGTTTCTCCTTAACATTTTTCTCTTAGCAATCCAACTCAGAGCCCACTTTAACACAGGCTGGCTCCACCCAGGGGTTTGTAACTTGATTGCATCTGCAAAACCCTTTTCTCCAAATGATCCTGGTCACGGGTGTCAGAGGTCCTGACTCCCACCTATCTGGGGGGACACTCAACCTACCATAGTAGGTTGGAGTTGAAGGGCCCTGGCTGAGTGACACTTGATCCTCACCTAAGGTCCCACCCTAGGTGGGCACTGGCCCTGTAGAGTTTGAGTTTGTTTCGATTTTTCCCTTTCTCCTTGACGGACTTAATTTGAAGTCAGTCCTTTTAAATTGTGGAGTATTAATGTTACCACGATGTTGAGAACTTTTATTTTCTCTTGTTCTACGTGATACATCTCTGCAATGATACCTCTTTACCTGTTCTGGAATTTAAAATAAACTTTTTTAACTTCTGTGTTAATTTCCTGTTTTCATAATAAAATCCCTGTAGCTGGGATACTTGAATGTTTCTCAGCTCATGTTTTTTGGGAACTCATAGGAAGACAACCCAATGAACCCAAAGTGGCTGCCTGCCACCTTTGCACCATCCAATCAACAAACGGCTTTCTCTCTCCTCCTGTCCTAGTTGGGTTTTTGTTCTGTTGTCAGCTTGACACAGGCTAGAGTTGTTATGGGAAGAGAGACTCAACTGAGAACATATTTCCATCAGACTGCCTGTAGGTGAGACTATAGGGCATTTTCTTGGTTATTGATGTGGGAAGGCCCAGTCCACATGGATGGTGCCACCTCTGAGCAGGTAGTCCTGGGTGCCATAAGAAAGCAGGCTGAGCAATCTAGCAAGCAGTATGCATTTATGACTTCTGGTTCCGTTTCTTTCTTAGTTTCTCTTCGTGGTGAATTATACCTGTAAGCATGAAATCTTTCACAGTGCTTTTGGTCATGGTATTTTATCATAGCAATAGAAAAGCAAAGGACAACTTCTAAATTCCTTAATGCCAGCTGGAATGAGAAAGACGCCATAGGCCCATGTGTTTGAACACTTGGTCCCTGGTTGGTGTGTGTTGTTTGGGTAAGTTTAAGAGGTGGAGCCTTAAAAGAAGACTTCTATAATTGGGGCAGACTTTGAGGGTTTCTTGCTTCAACTCACTTCCAGTTTGACCTCTTTGCTTCCTATGTGTGGCTGAAAAAGGATCCTTCGGCTTTCTGATCGAGCTGCCTTCTGACACGCCTCTTCTGCCAATACAGACACTCCCTCTGAAACCATTAGCCCAAGTTAACTTTCTTCCGTTTCTTCTGGTCCTGACATTTTATCACAGAAACTGAAAAAATAGCAAATGCAGCAGCTGAGCAGGGAGGCAGAGGCCAACTTTATGTTGTTTTCTTGCGAGTTGGGATAACTAGGCTGGACTGGAACTCAGATGCTCCCGAGTCTGCCTCTGGAGTGCCAGTGTTGGTGTAGGCCTGAGCTTTGTACTCAAGCTTTCCTGGTTGCCAACCAGTGAGGCTCCAGTGAGGCTCTCAGTCGATTGGGTAATAGCCGACCACATTGGTGGGCAGGGCTCTTTACCTACTTATAATTTCTTCAGTGCACTGTCATGGAAACACAGAGCAACAGTATATCACCAAATAACTGGGCATCACTTTGCTCAGTTCTACTGGGACATCAACCACCATGGCTAGTTCACCCAGGCTTCATGGAAAGGTAGAAGGATGGTAACTCTAAATGCTCGTGAGCAAGCCCAGGGGATCCCATGGGACCCTTGGTCTTTTAAAACCTTTTTCTATCCTGTTGCTATAAAGCCATTCCCATCTACTTCCCTATTGTCCCTAAATTCCATTTAGTCTGTGCAAGTGCGCACACACTCATGTACCCTCATGTGTACACATGGGTGTGCACTGTGGCACACATGTAAAAGTCAGAGGACAAGTTGTGGGAGTTGGTTCTCTCCTTCCTGTGTGGGTTCCAGGGACTGAACTCACACAAGTAGTCAGGCTTGGTGGCAAGTGCCTTTACCTACTGAGCTTTCCTGACAGCCTCCCATCTTTCCTTTAAAGTGCCCAGTGACTTCTGTACAAATCTAAGTTGAAGTCAGGTTCTCTAAGTGCCTTCCCCCACTGGGATGCTGCCTTGTTGCTTGAGACCTGTGCTTACCCTTCACTGTCTGGTTTCATCATTGACAAAGGAAAAAGAGTAAGTGAGCACCCATACACACCCTCCCCCATTTCAGGGGCCGCTCATTCTAAAACTCTTCTGATTCCCTCCCCTGCTTTGCATACTTACAGTGTCTTTTGATGCCCCCTTTCATGTCTCTGACTTACTTGCATGATGGGAGGCAATCATGTGAGAAGATTCTAAAGGCTTTTCTCATTCCTGGGAGAACCATGAATAGAACCGTTGGCAGTAAGCTGGAGAAAGCATGTGTTTAAAGACTCAAGGACAGGCTATTGGGATGACTCAGTGGGTAAAGGTGCTTCTTGCCACCAAGCTCCATGACCCAAGTTCCATCTCTGGGACCCACATGGGGAAGGAGAGAACTCGCTCTCAAGAGTTGCCTCTGACCTCCACATGCTCGCCACGGTGCATGCACACAAAATAAAAACTATACGAGGAGGAGGAGGAGGAAGAAGAGGAAGAGGAGATGGGGGATGTATTGGTTGTTGGGGTGATCTCCAGAATTATTCACCTAGCCAAGCCTCATTAACTTTTTTTAGTGAAAAAGTCTGATAGGAAGAGGAACTGTATTCCAAGTTATAAATTGCTAAGATATAAGCATATTTTTGTCATTTTTGTTCATATATATCTATACTCATCATCCAGGCTATATCTTTTTCTGTTGTTACCAATTCATTAAGCTACAATCCACTTTGTGTGTGTGTGTGTGTGTGTGTGTGTGTGTGTGTGTGTGTAGCTGTTCTGTCTGCATGTATCTTTGTGGACCATGTGTATGCAGTGCTCACAGAGGCTGGAAGAGAGCCTGGATCTCCTGGAGCTTAATACAGAATATATACAGAATATTGTGAGGCTCCCATGTAAGTGCCACAAACCAAACCCTGGGCTTCTGGAAGAGTAACCAGCACTCTTGATTACTGAGCCATCTTCTCAGTGTCTAACTATGATCCATATTTATCAATAAAATAATCAACCAAAAATATTCTCAAAAATAATGACAACCTTTAGGTGAAGGTGAAAACCAGCCATTTGTAAACACGGGGAGTGCTTGCTTCCACCTCTCTCTCGAAAACTTCCTGAAATTTTGCAAATAGATGGAAATGAGCTAAAACTCAAATATTTTAATCAAGGTAAGTATTAGTATGCATAGCAAAGTGCCCACCATGTTGTATTTTTTTTATCCTAATGTGGATGTAATAAAATAGCAATGGAGATGCTGCAATACATATTTTCTCCAAGGAGAGCACCAGATCAAAAGGGTGATTTTTAGCCAAGCACTTGAAGGGCCTAACTCCTTTGCTCTTTGGC